AATCTAGGCTACTGCTTCATTATTATGAATGGACTAACAATAGTTACTATAGTAACTGATTATTCCATTATGTACTGTATGGTACTATAATAATAATAATACATTGGAAACTATTTTAGTGGTTGCTGTTAATGTTGTGTCTTCCATGCTTTAATTACCGTATTTCCTCGAATAGAGCTGCTCTTCGAATAGTAGCCGCAGTTAATTAAAATTTAATTAATTAATGTGCCACGTGTGCTCATTCGAGTGCTTGTTGTTGTTCTCCGGCAAGCCCTATAGTTTCTCTCCTATTACTGGGTTCCATATTGCCTTGTAGACACTAGACATGGTGGCCTCTGACAACACTATCAATTTCCATGTCTCCCAACGTTTAGCTTGAGTTTGCTTGATTTACAATGGTGCGCACTCATGGTGAATGATGGGTGCGGTCACGTGCAGGTGTGACCAGCCACATGTTTGCTAGGAGAGAAATAGTAGCCACCCTCGAATAGTGACCGCCCTCGAATAGTAGCTCCCGTCAACTTAAGCTGAAATTTATAGTAGCCGTGGTTAGTAATCGAAGAAATATGGTGCATTGACAAGAAAATTTTTTATTTATTCTCTATCCATACCCCAAATACTTTATGATCCCATTGTTTACAAAATGCTCTTTGTTTTCTTATGCAGTTCCTCCATCTCTTAAACCACCTGCTCCTTCTCCTCCTATAGAAGAACAAGAGAATTATGATGAAGTGCCACGTGAAGTAAGAGTTTATTATTATGATATGATACTTATTATTACTAATGTTGTGTTTTTGTTTACTATAGGGAACTATCATTGAAAGGTCAGTAGTAACAGATGCCCATCATTGTATGAATTGCTTTATTATTAGTGTGTACTTTGAATGTAAAGTCAGTGCTTCTTTATAGCATGCATGCGTAGTCTATGGTTTTTCTAAAATTTTTAAAATGATTGTACTCAATGGTTTGATTGAAAGTGACTCAAGGCCTTTCTACACTTGAACCGGTTCCAGAAGTCGGCTCATTAATGCGCATGGAATGAGCATCAAGTGATTCCACACTATCATCAGGATCATGTATATTTTGATAGCATTTCTGATCCAGCTAGCTGCCATTGGTTATCTATTGAATGTGCATTCAAACCACATATGGAGGTGGTTTGGCTTAATGCACATTGAAGTCAATGAGCATCAGGTGTGGAATGACTGGAACCGGTTTCAAACCAGTTCAATGCGCATTAGAAGTGCTAGTGTAGAAAGGCCTTAAAACTTGTATAGAGTACATACATGTACATGTACATGCATACTGGAAATGTAATGCATTTACATATACAGTGGAACCTCTGTATAACGGTCACCATTGGGAACTGGTCCTTTGGCTGTTATAGAGGGGTGGTCTTTATTGAGGGGTTTCAGTTTAAAGTGTATAACTTAAGAGATATTTAACTGTGTTGCGTTCTTAAGTATCTTGATTCATTCTTCAGGTTAATACAAAGATCCTGCAGGTACCAGGTAGTATGTAGATGTAGCAGGGAAAATAAGGGAATTACAGCAAGAAGAAAGGGCATGCTCATGGGTGGGGCTACACGTGACGTTTTATGATGAAAACATCCGGTTTAAGTGATGGGTGTGGCCACATGGCCGTTAAATTAAATTAGAGTAAATGAAAGGGATAGGAAACCACCGTAAAATTTATGTGCATGTCATGCGTTGCCTAGTGACGTATGCAAGTTGTTGTTTTTCTTACCGGGAAACTAGGAAAATGGAGGACCATCACTGGACTTCTCGGCTTATAATTCGTGTCTGATATAGAGTACAGCTACAGTTCCAGGTCAGCTGCAAAGATCAAGATCATATCTATCCATTGATACCTGGCTCAGAAGGACTGCACTAATGGTTCGAATGAAATCCTATCTTGAACTCTCACTGTCAAGTTGTCCAAACCCTTGTGAAAAATCCCAGCAAAATCTTATAAGGTTTTTCATGATTTCACATGATTATACAAGAAAACATAAGATAGTAATCTTGTAAAATCTTAACACAGAAATTCTTGCAAATTCTTATTTAAGATTTGATAAGATTTGAACAAGCTGTCAGATCTTGTGAGATCTATCATAACTATAATTCTTGTAAGAATTTAAAGATCTTACGAATAAAGGAATATATCAGAAAATGTAAGATCATGCCTCACTTAAATCTTGTAATACCACACCTTGTAAGAACTAAGATGATCTTGTTAAATTGAAATCTAATAAGATCTTACAAAATCTAGTAAGTTTATGATCTTGAAGAATCATCCATGATCACACGACACATAAGATCACTCATTAAGTCATTAAAGATCTTGAAAGATCTTACAAATTGCATGACGTCACAGGAAGTGGTAGACAACCCACGATAGCCTTTACAATAATGGCAGTATATAAAGAAAGTAAAATTTCAACATAATTAAATCAAAAAGTTAATGAAGTTCACATTAACCTTCACATCATTAAGTAATTCATTTATGCAATGTAAGATCTTGCTCAGATCTTACTGTTACATCTATTTTTCATAAGCTGAAACTTCATGTAAGAACTCAGCTAATATTTAAAGATCTTGATAAAGCAAGATCCCATGATATCTTTCATGTTTGTTCCAAAATCAAGTAAGATCTTGCTGTGATCTTCTAAGAATTTGGTAAGATCTTGAGAAAGATCCTGTAAGATCTTGCTTACATTTTGATAGCAAGATCTAACACTATCTTACATAATCCTTGTTTCAAAATCAGGTAAAATCTTGTGAAATATTAGCAAGAATCTTGTTAAGAATTTTAAAGAAACTTAACAAGAATCTTGCTGGGATTTTTCACAAGGGAACTGCCGATTTTGTTTTGTACCTTTTTCTGAAAGTCAATTTTATGAACCATCTATTGGTGTTCAAAAGACATTAACCAATGTTATAACTGAGGTCTTGAGACATGTTCTAATAGGAAATATTGCATGGCTGTGATTTCTAAGCTAAAAGTAGACCCAAATTTTGCTTTTGTTTTGTACCCTTAGCTCACCAGTAACAAATACTCTAGCCTTAAACTTTTTTGTATCAGTCTGTACTTCAAATGCGGAGGTCTTTCACATGTTTTGGGGCTTTCCTTCTATTTTATAGATAAAATAAAAATAAATATTCACTTTTACAAATTTTCACAATTAGAGATAACTTTGAATGATATAAGAGCATAAATATCATATGAAAGAAAATAGAATGTTTAGCACAGCCATAAAGAAGGTACTACATAGCAAAGAAGCTATTCATTTTGTTTCTGGAGCTCAGGATGCAGCAGAGAAGTGCCCTTGTCATCAGCGCAGGACCTTATTCTAATTTTTCATACACCATTTTACTCTAATAATCCGTTCAATTTAATACGGTATTAGCAACTAGCATTTCCTGCCAGGAACGGTGGTTTCCTATACCTTTCATTTACTCTAATATCTATGTTAAAGAGAAGTTTTTTTCAATGCTTTATGCTGTGTTGGGGACGTTTTGAATGCTCGTTTTACGCAATAGAGAGGTGGTCGTTCTTCAGGGGTTGCCTTAACAGGCAAGTAAGTGTAGTTTGCATCCGGACCTGGACATTTGGCTGTTATATGATAGACGGCCGTTAGTTAGGGGTGGTCATTAAGCGAGGTTCCACTGTATGTACTGTATAGCGGGAAATTTTGGAGGGAATTAAATTTGGCGAATTGGCATTTTGATAGCCATTTACTAAAATAAAATCCACCATTTTGAGCCATTATATGCATGCTCAATGGCACGTGGCCACTAATTCGCCAAATTAAAGTTTGCCAACCTTATGCATATAACTGTTTTGAAAAATTAATGCATAGAATAGTACACAAAAAATAAAAAAAATTATAACCTTATATTTTTAAATAATAATTAAGCATATACTTCTAATGGTGGTCATAATTTTCAGCCTCAAACTATTACATGTATGACTTTTTGGATAAAGTCTCTAGCATTATACTAAAAGCCACTGCTTCATATTGTACATTGTACCTAGCTAATACACATGTATGTTACTCTTTTACTTATTACTAGTGAGGAGCCAGATGAAGAGCTGTAAGATAACTGTGCTGCTACTTTTGTTCCTCAAGACACCTTTTCCCCTCCTCCTCTCCCTCCCTCCTCCTCTCGCTCACCTCAACGCTTCCTCTATCTCTTCCAAGGAGTAACAGCATCAATACTCTTGAAAGGGATGCTTTACCTTATCCACCTTCATCTCCTAGTGCACAGAGGAAAGGGTAAGGACTATAGAGTATATTAGATATTTGGGGGATTTCCTCCAAACATTGATATAATCACTGTTAGATTTAGAGAGATTTTACGAGTCTTTTAGTCTCACATATTTGGTCTAGGTGCCTTGAAATGTCTCCTTTTTTTCAGCTTTTTGTTTCTCATATTTAGCCTACAGTAAGTCTCCCTTTTTTAGTTAAATTGGTCTCCCAAAATTTATTTTCTTCACTTGACATGTATTATTAGTATGGTGAAAGTCATGTGATTGACAAGTTTGCAGGGTCAAGCAACCTGCAAAGCACTTTATGATAGCAGTGTCACCAGACACAGATACTGGGGAGGATTGGAAACTGGATCATGTGTGCCACTTTTCGCAGTTCGATTAGTGATTGCTAGGAACATATGGCATGCTGTACAACTCTCATTTTTGTGGGACTGTAACTCTTCGTCTACATACGAAGACTGTAACTCTTGGTATACATACCAGACTCTATACAAAGACTCATTTTGTTGCTCAAAGACTGCTCTATTAGGTTAGCTATTTTAAGCTATTTTATTTACTATTTTTGTGAATCTTTTGTGATGTTCTACTATCATTTGTGTTTGACAAGCCCCATTGTAGCTAAATATACCTTTAAGGGCCTTTCAACCACAAATGATAGTAGAGCATCACGAAAGATTCACAAAAATATTAAATAAAATAGCTAATGTAAAAGATCAGTCTTTGAGCAACAAAATGAGTCTTTGTATAGAGTCTGATATATATACCTTGGATGAGTCCCACAAAAATGAGAGTTGTACAGCACGCCATATGTTCCCGGCAAACACAAATCGAACTTTGAAAAGTGGTACATGTGATCCAGTTTCCAATCCTCCCCCTTATGCAATATCTCACTTTGCACCAGACCTTCCTCTGCAGGTAGCGAAGGGGCGGGGCGAGACTACAGCAGTTCTGTATTTATGAGCTGAGAGTAAATTATCAAATTCCTGTTGATAATAATAATTTCAATTTATTGATTGCTAGTAATGTCAGTTATAAGTAAAGTGAAAGTGCATTAATTAAGTATACATGTAGGTTATACACCAAGTAGAGGTTTCTATGCATAGATACTATGTTCTATAGAATTTATTAACCAAGCAACACAGTCGCTTGGTTAATAAATGCCATAGAGCTGTTGCACTGAAGTAATTGATGGGGGGTGGCTATGACTGTCCGCCATGTTGTGTGGCAAGAATGTACATGGAATGAATGGAGATGCAGAAACAAACTTAGATTTTCCAATGATGAAATATCATACTTTGCTGTAGAATATTACCGAGAGTTCTTTACTCAATATCTTCATCTCCTAGCTTGCATTAGCCTGTATTGTAAACTGCAGAATTTATTTTGATTTTTTCTTCATTCTCCCCATTCCACCATGTACATTCTTGCCACTCAAGATGGCGGACAATCATAGCTGCACCCCCCTGTTGATTACTTCTGTGCAACAGCTCTATAAAAACCAATACCAAGGCATATACCTGTAACCAACTTCTACCATGACATTTGAAAACAACTACCAGCTGCAGATAATAAGACTGCAGTTGACATGCATAGGACATGCATGTATCTAATTGGCTAGGCAGTAAAGAATCAACCAAGCTTGACAAATGGACTAATAAGAGCATACAAGTTTCTAAGTATTCCAGGGAGGTTTCTAATAGATTTAGAAACCTGGCATTCTGCATTCTGATTGGTCAAACAGTTCAATTTAAATTTGGCATGGTAGATTATATTATTTAATACATTTTCAAAATTTAATTATTGATATTTATAATACAGCTACATGTCCTTACCTGACAGACACACTGCAATTCTCCTCCTCCTAAATGCAGTGACAGGAGATAAGCTGAAGTCACTGTAGCTTTATGTTTCTTCATACCGTATAGCTCAAAACTTTCGAGGCTGAAAACTTTCGTGAATTTCACGGTTTTGGCCTCAAACGCGAAAGTTTTTATCGTGAAAATTCAAAGGGGTGTGGTCAAGTAGGCATGGGCTTGCCCATAGATATTAGAGTACAGAGGGATTGGAAACGGGTATCTCCGTATACATCACTAGGATACAGATGCTAGTTGACATTTGCATCTAGCAACGCATAGCAACGGAGGCTGTCTTTGAGCAAGAGCTGTCTTTTTGAGACCTGTCATTCCAGCAGTGGTGTCACTATACGTCATTATTTATATCAAAGGAAGCAGAAGAGACTAGCATCTATCCCCAGACTAATTTTTATGTTGCTAGCATCATTATTTGCACTGAATATTTGCTCTGGAATGAGAATGCTTAGAATGACATTTTGTTTTGTACCCTTATCTCAGTAGCGTTAGACAGAAGACAATAACTTATTCAACCACTCAATAGAGATTCATAATGTGGAGGTCGCCCACTATGTTTCATTTGGAAATACGATTGTATCTTTCTGTAAAAATAGATTTACTGATTAGTTTGAGAGGTTTGTTTTGTACCCTTAACATAAAAACCAAAGGGTCTGTAACATTAACTATCACACCATCGTATTACTTAGAACACACCGGAGGTCGCCAACACCATTTCTATTCAATAGGTTGTACAAATCAAAATATAGAACTAAATATAGTAAATGTGATCAATAATGATTGCTAATTCATAAAACACTGAATTTAAACTGCAAACAGATACATTGCTACAGCAGACAGCTTGGGCAAACAGGAAGAATATCTCTCAACATTATTGAAGGGTACCT